AGTAAGATACTCCTGATATTTTATTAATAGTGCTCTAAGAAGAAACAGTTTTCTGCTCATGAGTGCTGTGTGAGATGATGGATGAGTTCACAACACCTGTTGCTGCTACATACGTGGAAGTCATTTCCCCCTGCCTGTTTCACAAAAATCTGTTCTTTTCTCACAAAGTCAAACACTCTGCTCCTATTTATAGTAAATATCTCCTAGATAAGCTTTGAAAAGGTTCCGTGTGTAACTAATTAATAACATTTCTCTTTGTATGCCAATAAGTTGGATTATTGAAGAAAAGGACGTGTGCAAGAAATTAAAATTGAAGCTACTTACATAGATAGACAGGCAGATAAAACTTGCCTAGATAACTTTTCTCACACCAAGAAAAAGTTTTATTTCTCCACTGCAGAGAGCTAGCACTATATCTGTGTCCTACCAGAGCTCATGCTACTCCTTCAGTTAAGGCCAAAAGGGGACTTCTGTGATCCACAACTGTATTGCTTCCTTCTGCACAGAACTGAGCTTTCCTCCTAAGCAGTCCTGAAGGCTTCCTAATTGCTCATTTAACCCAAGAAAGTACTTACAAATGTCTTCATTTACCTCCTCTTCCAGATATTAATTTATTAGCAGAAATATTCACTGAAATAAATTTTTGTAAGTAATTATTAGGGAAAAGTCACAGGAAGCAATTTTATAATTCCTACAATTCATTATTCATCTCCAAATATGGTTTCTATCAAATCATGTTCATCCAAACAGAGAACAGAAACATATGAGAGACTAAAATATTCTGATTAATGTAATCGGGGAAAACAGTTCACATCCTGAACACCCACAAAGAACTTACCATGCTTCTGCTCACCAGAGTTGTATTTGAATATGCTGAAAATCACGAGTAAGGAGTAGCATATGCTGAAATGCATTTCAATGCCATTACGTTCTGTTACTGAGGGCATAAATATAACATGTAGAATATAGATATGTAAGAAAACAAAACTAGCAAGGCAGTCAATAGTGCAGTCATAATGCAAGACCAAACAGGAATTGAGAATCAACCAATGGAAATAACTTAATAAATGTCAGCTTTACATTTCAGTACTGTAATTACTTCACTGAAAAACCCAAAAGGTGAAGATCACCAGATATACCAGATTCTCTTAATTTCTTTTACAGAACTACTGGGGAAAAGGCATAAAACTGTATTTTTAATGCCTTGATTTTGCACATGTAAAATAATATAAAATTCATGAAGGTGGAGAAAATACACTGAAGCATCCAAAAGAATTTTAAATGTCTGTGATAGATCAGGACGAATATTGGAATGACTGAAATGAAGAAAAGTTTTAAAAGAGTGATTTCCAGATCAAAGAACAGAGTTTGCAAATCTCTTTCCACCTAAGCAAACCTCCAGCTGAAACCAAACTGAACTACTCTCAGGAGCAGACAGCTCATGCCTGGTAGGTGCCATGCCAGGGTCAATGCCACATTTGCCCTGGACTTTCAGTAGAACGAGGATCATGTCACTCATTTGATGTGTTCTGTGCTGAACAGTTACCTTTTCTGAGATGTATCATAGAAAGACAACAAGGAACATACTGGATTTGGAGGATCAACATCCAAAATCTTACAGGAAAATTACAAAATCCTGACTGACCTCACTAAATTTACACGAACATATACAAGTCAGGGATTAAAAGTCTTTGAAAAGGTCACTGTTCATTCATCAGTCCATTTCCAGAGCTTGTTTCTTAACATCCTTACGTGCCCAAATGAAATGCCACTTGTGAAAATGCCCACAAGAGAAGAAACTCCTTCTGACTTCATTTTTGTGGTCAATGGTTGCAAAATAATTTTATGTGCAAGAGTCAAAGGAGGGATTGTTGCCAAGCTTTTGAAATCAGGTACACTTTCTTTGAGGGACATTTGTCTGAGGGACAAACAAGGGACAATTTCATCATACAAGAACTGGCAAAAAAAAAAAAAAAAAGGACACTAAATGTTTTTCAATTAATTATCTTCCTGAAAGACCTGAGACAGAAAAGCATGTGTGAAATAATAAAATTACCTTTCAAAGCCTTGTCTCACCCTCTCAGGATGAAAAGAGAAAAAGAAAGGGGGTGGGGGGGGGGGGGGGACGGGACAGGGCGGGGCGCTGAAAAAAACACCGAGCTAGAAAATAAGTTTATGATGCTTTAACCACGGTTAGGAAAAGTTGCTCCGAGTAAGGTCAGTGGTTGTTTTACCAGGGACTTCCATGTGAAAAGCTACAGTTCAAAATTCCTGATCAAGCAAAGTATTCAGCCCTAAACTCAGGTACTTAGCATCAGTGATATAACTCGTATGCCTCATTACGCACACCCTTATGTACTTTTTTCAGCTGGGGCCCAAACATATTACTGCTAAACATATCGAGCTGCTGGATCAGAGACTGATATAGATTGTCCTGGAGTTTCCCTGAGGTTCTTTTCCCCCACTGGACTAGGTATAAAGAAAGGCAAAGAAAGTTTGTCTGGTTATGCACCTGGCATACATTCCTCTATCCTTGGAGACAAAGTATCAGAAAGGAAAAAAAGAACATTTTTCAGTGACCCTGACATTTGATACTGATGCAAAAAAGGAAAGGAATGACAGAGTTTGAAGCCAAAAGCATGAAGTTTCTTTATATTTCCTATGATTTAATATCTTTCTCCCCCACATACGGCAGATTCCTTTATTGAGACTCATATATGGGCCAACAGTGCTCCAGCAATGTCTCTGATAACACAGTGAAAAGTGTCTAACCACAGTATCATTTGCAGCTTTTCTCATTTATCTTATCCCCAGTCCCCAAAGACATGCTTTTTCTGATGGAATAAATTATTGTTTTCATTTTTTATGAATAGAAGTGAAAATCTATTTGCTGACCAACTGAATTAGAATAGGCAGAGAATCAAATTCTTCAGGTTTGTATGAAATCTGTTGTAAAAGCCGGGTTCCAGCTTTCATTCAGTCTAAACAGATAAAAAATATCAGTGACCCTGAAAAAACACTCACAGTATCTGTTTAACCAGACTTGTAAATTAATTTTTTTCCTGTAATAAATAGGAAGATACACTCACATAACATGCTTTACTTTTAAAGCATTTCATACACATTGCAAGCCAATAATATTCATGGCATTGTTGTGAGGTAGCTTGGTACAGTTTGCTCACTTTGCAAGTATAATTACAGGTATAAAAAAGGAAGAAAAACCTGATATCTGGAAGTTTTTGATGCACAAATCTGTATGATTTTACTTGCTGTATGTACCATAGACAAAATGAGCGTTTATGACTGTGACATTAATTGGGTAAACAGATGTCTGATTAATACACTCCAGCATGGTAAATAAAGCATAAAAATGCACATGCAGTTGTTTAATAAGAATTTGGAAAATCAGATCTTCCTTCTACAGCCTGCAGTCCTTGCTACAAGGGGCTCTAGAGGGGGACAGTACTGCACAGACCAAATGATAATTCAGGGTTCCTGGATGTAAGGCCCAATCACTGCAGTTTGCCACATCAACCCCATTTTCAGACCGGGTCTCTAGCTCTCATCCTGGCTGGGAGAAGCCTGAAAAGCAGTTCAGTTTGAGCAGGAACTAACCTGTCTGCCAGTTTATCATCAAAGTCTAACCATCATGACAAAGTATATAAAAGAGCATATGCTGCTTCACAGCCCTCCGCAAATTTAAAGAGAAAAAACTCCTGCTGACTTCAAGAGGCTTCAGATCTAGCCCACAGTGGAATAACTTCACTCTATTTTTCAAGAGACTGGAAATATCAAATATCATCTGATTATTCAGGCTTGAGTCTGATCTCACAAAGTGTATGCAGACTTAATCTATTGGGCTACAGCTGCAAAGGCTGCCGGTGGCACTGCAGTGCAAGGAGAAGCCACACTGCGCTCAGGCTGCTGTAAATGCAGCACGGCATCACCCAGGGAGCCGGCGTGCCCCTGCATTTCCTTTGGTGGCTGTGAAAGCAGAACCTGACCCCCTCATGGCTGAGCTGAAAAATCACCCAGTTGTCTACACAGCTGCCCACCTTTATAATAATTATTTGTAGCAAAACACTTGACAGCCAGTTGACATGTTGTGAATAGGTATTGTACCTCACAGCCTCAGAGGTAAGCGCAACACTCTCTATGTATCGTAATACTGGGATATCAATGTTTAACCATGCTGTAAAGCTCTTTACTGAGAAAGTAGTGTACGCTTTCAACTAAATGGCTACAGCCTGGAGATAGCCTCCAGCCTGAGGATGGGGGCAATAAAATAATTTTGTCTGACAAACTGCCACCAGAGATTTGCTGGTGTTGTTACTCAGAGTGTAGAATCCCAGCACATTCAGAAGCCTCCTTTAAGGAATTAATGCTTGCTTGTTTTGCCATCCAAGGAGTGTTTACAGAAGCCAAAACAACCATGCTTGCTGTCCACTGCACAAAGAGGTGATGACATCAGGAAGACAGGTCACAAGTATGAGTTTATAGTCATTACACTTACGTTGGTATGGCTTTTCATCCACTTAGTATGATCTTATGACCCCACAACTTTACAACCTTCTACTCTCTGGGCTTCATAGCACCTCTCCACTCTAGGTTAATCATTTCTCTGCCATTATCTGCCAAGAGTTCTTATCTCTTTTGCTGTCACTTTATAACAGGGCCCTCTTATCAAGCTGTACAAAATCACGTGACGTGCCAAACCTATCACAAGTTCCAATTCTTCTGATTAGAGACTATCATGAAATGGGATACATGGTTTACAGCAGGTCACTAACGCTGGAAAAAGTACAGAGTCCACTCAAAGGCATACTTGTTGCTTTCTGAATTCTTGGATAATTTTTTTTTGTTGCTGTTCATCACACTGACTTTCACTGAAGGCTATTATAGCCTGGATCTCAAGGCCAGAAAAGTTTACAGGCTGCACCTCTTCTGTACTCAATGCTGTACACCTTGCACCCAAGGGTACTGTATATTTACACTTAATAATGTCTTCTGGTTCCCACACAGCCATCATACAGGAATCTATAAAACATGGACTTACATCAGTTGGTAAGTAACAGTTTTCTAACTGTTTTGAAGACGCTGCATAAATATATTAGACTTGGACTGTCCAAACTGAAAAAAAACATTACAATTGGGCAAAACAACAAAACTGATTAATTGGCATGTGTATTTAAGCAAAAAGCAACTTTACGATACAACGTAAAAATGTAAGAAAACAGCTGATGATTCAGTGAATAACAATTTTCTCCATAGATAATGTGATTATCAAATATATAATCAGATAATTAATGGTATCTTTATCTATTACAATTGCTAATAACTGTGAAATTGTGTGTGTGAGTGTATAAACTTTTGCAAAAATTAGATTTAAATTGTTTCTGGCCTGACTATTCTTGTTGAAGAAAACCTCAGGAATGTTTTCGGGTCTTTTCTATAATACACATGTCAAATGCAGATTCTTTTTTATAGCTAAAAATGCAGATGTATCAGCATTCAGTGGGGATGGGCTGGATAATAAGTCGGTTAAGGCTTCAGAGCAGCAAAGAAGTGAATACTTTCAGTAGTATACGGAAACAGCACCCGTTCCCCATCAGAAAGCCAGCAGGCACGGGTTGCTCTGGCTTGCAGGAGCGAGGGGCATTGCACAGCCAGCTGCCCTGGGCTGCCAGGGCTGCAGCGGCTGTGGCCGAGCCCCAGCGGTTGCCTCTCCCCGACACCTCCGTGCCCTTCTCCTTGCGCTTCCTATCTCGGGTCATTCTGCCTCTCACCAGACACCAGGAGCTAAGTGCCTTTCCTTTGGTGGTGTGATAGCATCCCCGGCCCAGTCAGCCTGTGCCTGGGTCCAGGCCGGGCCGAGCAGGGCTGAAGAAGGCTTGCCAAGGGAAACCTCTCCTTCACAGAGCAGAAGGCTCTTTGCAAGCCAGCCCAGCAGCGCTGCAGGTTCCACAGCCTGGAGTTTTGCAAGGCTGTGCCTCGGCGCAGCAGTCTATGGCAAGGATGAAAGAAAGGAGCTTTGGCCTGTAGGTGGGAACCAGGGCTCGCTCTCCTCCTCTTGGGCCCAAAGTGCGTCATCACATGGCAGGCGAGGCGCTCGCACTGCTGCTGGGTGTGATATGGGCACCTCGCCATCAAAGGAGGCTTTGGGATGGTGGGGATGGAGGGTGCAGCAACAGCTGCAGGAAATAGCTTCAAACATAGCTGAAACCTGATCTTGATCTCCCGGCTGGAGCTGCTGCTTCTCCTGGGGAAGGTGAGGGTGCCCACAGGAAGGGCTCCGACCTCGGACCTGGCTGTGTCCCAGGCAGCTGGCCCCCAGGGCCTCCCTTCTCACCCTCTTCTCGTACTCTACTCTTCCCGCACAAGAACTGTGCCCAACACCATAATGAGGGTCACTGGGCTGCAAATGGAGCAAATGGAGGACAAATGCCCCATGGATCACACCACCAGTCCCACTACTGCCTGCCTCCTGGCCAGCTGTGCCTGGTGCCAGCCCCACTCCAGGGTGGATTCCTGGTGCCTCTCCTCAAAGGGAGCCATGTGGTCCCTCTGGCAGTGTTGTCAGGGTATCCCGTCCACAACAGGCAGAGAGCACAGGGTGCTCCTAGGCTGTCAGACATGGCTGTGACCAGGGTCAGGACATACTGGGCCAGGAGGGCTGATCCAAGCAAAGCCGCAGAGAATTCAAAGCCAGAGACCCTTTGGTGCCTCTCAACAGGTGTGGGGTGCGCCTCCGCACAGCTCTGCTCCCAGAAACACATGGAAAAGGGGGATGAGTCCAGCTGTCCAGCTGGGCCTCTCTCTCTTGGGCCTTGCTCTGACTTTTGCTCTTTCTGGCTGCCAGGGAGGAAAGGTGCTGGAGGAGCCTCTGGTCCTCTCTCCTCAGCCTTCGGCATGGGATAGTAAAATAATAAGACATCTCATGAATCTGGAGTGGTCACTCACATAAGGTTTCTCAGGGTGAAATGATACAACCCAAGAGGAAGGGAAAATAAGACACTCTTATCTGTCATATTTAGACCAACTAAGTGCCATTTTCATGGTTTCCAAAAGACTGGCAGGTCTGGGTTCCCTAAATCGTGTGGATATGAGAAACAGATTGGTGGGAGTCATAAGTTAGCAGAGCACTCTTGTCACCATACCTCTAAAATGCACTTATACATGTGCTGTACCACAGATATACCAGGACAGATTTGCAAAGCATTGCCCAGAAAAAGCAGGTCTAAATCCTGTAAAACTCTCTGAAATCCTGTGTGCTCTGGGTCAGGGGAAAGATTCTGCCCTTGCGTGACACTGCACAGTCAAAGCCCATGGTGGCATCCCTGGAAAGAGCATCTAACTCAGCATTGTAAACTGATAACCACGTACCTGTAAGGGTTAAACGTAACCAGCACCACCCTGCGGGCCTCTGCTTGGAGGTGGAGAGAACCAAATAGGAAGGAGCTGGATTCTGTTCTTATTTGCACTTGGAGAGTAATTCTTTGGAAGAAAAAGCTGTCCTCCCAGGGTGTAAGTACAATCAGCACCAGGGCCAAGTGCTCTTAAGAGTAAATCCCATCCCCGGACTTTCACTTTTGTCCAGTCCTTCCCAGTGCCTCCTTTGCTTTTTCCTCTCAAGGCAGAGCAGGTGGGCTTGTGAGGGCCTGCCAGTCCCTCAGGCCAGGGGCACTTGCTGCTTCCCACCACAGGGGCTGAGAGGTGCCCTCGTCAGGGAGCACCTGCTTTGCAAAGATGCACCAAGTGCCTTCACCCATCTGGCAATAAGTTAGTTTTCGGTATAAATCAGTGATCTGTCACAGCAAGAATGACCTAGCTTTCTCCCAGCAACGAGGGCCTCACCCAGCTCCCATGAATGCAAATCAGACTCCACCAATTTAATTAGCAGTGGATCTGTCCCTTGGAGAGCAAACACAACCAGCCTGGAGCTGGAGTGTGAGTGGGCACTACCCGTTGTTGACACCTGCGCTTAGGTTTACAGTCACATAGTCAAAGAGGCAGCTGGAATTCACAAAATCTTAATAATACATACTATCTTCCAAATGAAGAACATTGTATGGACTTATGAAAATTTTTATGGAAGTGCCATGATTTTTTTCTTCTACCAGATTCTGGGGCAATACAAAGCTACTTGACTAGTTTTATTCTTCCTCTAACCAGCCTCTTGTCTTAGTGTCATCAGGGACACTCTGCAATTTTTATAAGCATTAGCTATGATTATTTAACAGAAATAACTGTTTCATTAACTTGAAAAAAAGGTTATGTAAGAGGAAAAATAATCTACTTGTAGTTTCTTACTGTAAAATTTTTCAGCTTGTATAATAGTTACCACCATCTTAATTTTAATGCATGTCCTCAGGCAGTTTACAGTATTATAATTAGTACTCTTGAGTTTGGCAAGATTTGGTTTTCTGTATTATTATTATTATTATTATTATTATTATTATGCATATATAATGATATTTCATATGATTAACAAAGACAGCACATATTACTCTTAAAAGTTTGGATTAGGATTTTGGCCAGCAATGATGCAGGCAAAGCTTCCACAGGAGTGAACTGTTTGGGCTGTGTGAGGGCTGCAAGACATGAGCCGTGGGTGATTTTTTTATAATAGAGAACTTTTGCTGTTATTCTTTACTTTTATCAATTTTCTTCCCATTAAATACTTTTCCCATCATGATACTGCAAATGACCTATCTACAAAAGGGACAGTATTTACATTTACACACAATTTTTTCCAGTTAGTCTGATTTTAAATACCCAAATACATCAGGTAAAGTAATAGTGATGATGCCTGTGGTCTCCAGAGGGAAACCTCCAATGCTGACAAAACGCCTCCAGCCACTCGTCCGTGTGAGCAGTTTAAAGGTCAGCTCTCAAACTTGTCTTTATATAGGGTGAAAGGGAAGAATTATCTGCAGCAGGAGTTGCATTTGGCAGCATTGTGGGGAAAACCGTTACAACTTCTCATGCCAGATTATTATTAATGTCTAGAGTTTACTCACATATTAGACGAGTACATTACATATATTACATAGATATGCAACCTTATATATTAATATATATTAATACATTCTTATGTAGAATGAACAGACATGCATATGTACACAAACCTTATCAAGATTTCTCAGTATAAACTATGCCTAGTTTATCTTCTTATGGTTTGTTTTATGATTTTATGCTTATGTGTGGAGAAATCTTATATGAGCTAGATATATATATATGAGCTTGAACTTTTTTCATGATAAAGATCAGCTATTAAATTATTTTTTTAACTAAACTTTTCCAAGCTTCAAAACACAATTATTAGGGGCGGGGGGGGGGGGAAGCAGACCTAAAACATCCTTTTTATTCCACCAACAGATCAAGGTCAGTTGCCTCAGCAAAAGAAATTTCATTTTTAAGCCTGTCTGTGCAGGATAGAAATCAATTATCTCTTATGATACAGAAACCGGTGCTCAGCCCTGACAGAAGCCTTGCTTTATATACAAATATGTTTGGAGTTCTATTTCCAGACCAAGCTCTTGCTTTTTTAACTAGATGTTCCACTCGCGGCTCCAAAAGGGCAGCACAGGCAGAAACAGAAGAGCCTCATCAGAAAAGTAAATAATTGTCAGTGTTGGAAAGGGGCGGTGGGTTCGCGGCGGCGGAAGGGAGCGCCGGGACCGTCCGCGGCGTCCCTTCGGCCCGGCCCCGCGGCGGCTCCCGCCGGCAGCGCTGCCGCCCGTGCCGCACCGCGGAGCACCGCGCCGGGCAGCGGCTCCGCTTCTGGGCGGGCGGGCGGGAGCGGAGAGGGGACCCCGCTTTCCGATTCACCTCCTCGCCTCCCCTTCGGGAGGGGAAACCGCCACCCCCGCGGCAGGCAGGAGCGATCAGAGCGAGCACGTTTACCCGTTAGCGGCAACAGGTCCAAGCAGCGCGGGACTAGAAGGCGTTTTCCCTACGGAACTCGTGATTTATCGCGGCGGGGGGAGAAACAAAAAAAATCTAGCAGAGTTCCTGCTTGCAAACCTGGATCTCTAAGTGCCCTAACGGATCAAGGCTGCCGC